TTTAATAATTGATAAGTCCCACAAGATTTGTATAAAATTCTTAATACATTTAAAAGCACTTCACATCTAGGATTTCTCAACTCATTAGCATTCTCTATTCTTTTTTAATTTTTTAATCAGTACCCGACTAAGTGGTTTTATTTACTACTTTTTGGAAAAGGAACAACACAATCTAAAGTCATTAAAAATGCCCAATTATTTTAGAGCTTTAGAAACCGAATCTGCTTTCGTGACATAACGCATTGTATTCCATAACGATGATTTTTCCATAATACTTCCCCACCTTATTTGTAGTACTCTGGTGAGAAGGCAAAGTTAAGTCATAACTCAACGCGACAACGATAGCTCAACTTTAAAAATAACAATCTGCGGGCAAAGTTTTCGATGAATTTCGGATGGCGATGGCGATGGCTGTTCTCGCCACTAATGGCAGCTGCATTTGCTTCTTCGTTTGCTCCAGATTCGGTGGCAACGGGAGACTTGGTTCACTATATTTATAACTTTCATAAATCTCTGAGTTTGCCTGTCAACAGCAGAGTGTGGAGTGAGGGGAGTTTTGGAGGGTGGGGGATTGCTGTCTGTCGGGGCTTTATTTACATTCCGCGACAGCGTAGAAATATATTTGAACAGCAGAAAAAGATAGTTCCACTTCTTGCTTATTTCCACAATTTGAAATTTGAGCCGGGCGAAGGAGAGCACTCGGCAGCCGAACTGCAGAGGCGCCCCTCGGATGTCATGGCAAATAAATGCAAAGACCCGCAAAGTGCAATGGCAGATTAAACAATAAACAAGCGAGGGGAACAATGCCAGTGCAGAAATTCAGGTGAGAAGGGCGAACAGACGACACTTTTTGAATTCGTTTCTTGTTTTTTTTTCGGTTTGCAGGTACATTTTGCTGGTGGAAGGGAGAACTGCGGGAATTGGCAAGAGCAGGTGTTTCGTTACCATATTTTATGGTTAAATTTGCGGTCTGTGCCCGGGTTAGCTGATGGGCGAAGTGGCGGGCTCTTCTCATGCTCCTCATGCCCATTCACATGGCTAGAATGTATCTGTATCTGTTGCCGAGTGCTTGCCTCCGTATCCGTATCTGTATCGCTTTCCGTGTATCTGTGCACATGTCTCCGCCACACAGCTGTTTGCATTTCAAGAATGAAACTCTCATTGAGACAACTTCAATAAACATTCACGAAAAAAACTCGTTTTGCCAGCGAAATTCAACCACACAAAGAATTGTGGCCACAAGAGAACATCAAAATTGCGGAGCATGAAAAAAAGAGCAAGACAAGGGGAATGTATCTACATGAGAATAAGTATAAGTATAAGCATATTCCTAAACAACAAATAATCCGTGAAACTAGCTGAACAAGTGAGGAAGATAAAGTTCCTTGAGCTTGTTGACTTCAACGGTGCAAACTAGGAAGAATTCAACATATGATAAATAACAAAGTAAGATTTTTGTTTATTTTTATTTTGTTAACCCAAGGAATACAAAGAAAAAATCTTCATAAATAATAACACAAGGTGTAGTAGCACTCTCCAGGAAATAATTAAATGTTTAACTAAAAAAGCAGTTGTATCTGCTATCGGTTTTTATCTTCGAACTAAAAATTATTGCCATCGGCTGACAGGGTCAAAAAGTTTTGTGGGTCTGGGCTGGGTTTTTTAAGCCTTGTTAGCGGCGGCTCACTAATTCCATTTATGCAAATCGCCGCCTGTCAATTTCCTAACCACTTTTCTTTTAACAGCCAGCCGAACAGCAACAAAGATATCTCTTTCTTTTTCCCTCGCTGTCTTTTTAGATTGTTACATAATCAGCAGAAATTTCATTTAAAGCTTGTTTGGTGTCGCTGGCGGTATAGTTCGCTTTTTGTCGTACTTTTTGCTTTGTACTTTTTTTTCCACAAAACATTTGTCTAAAACCGAACAAAAGAAGTTATACTTTTTTGTCCGTCGCTGCTCCCTGATCTTCCCAGTTTTTTTTCAGTTTTTTTTGTTTGCCTATGCAGCGGCACGTCTCGAACAATATTTTTTGGTTTGCCTTTGGTTTGCCTTTCCCAGCTGCTTTTTTGGCAAACAAATTTGCACTACTCCAGCACCGAGGCGACCAAAACCAAGCTGACTAAAATTAAACAAACAAACAGACGGCCAGCGAGACAGAAAAAAAGTGTATTTAGTTTACTTGCCAAAAGCAAACGTCTGAGCTGCTCTTGAGCACGTTTTTTTAAAGTCTCTACGCAAAAAGAGGCATGGTGCATGTTTGCGAAAATGTTGTCACCCTGGCACATTTAAATAAGTAAGTTATCTTATCTTTACTAAGAAATATACAAAAATAATCGAAGTTATCTAAATCTAAACAAACAAAGTTAAACTTGTGTGAAATTCGTTCGCTTTAAACTAGTAAGATATAAAAATTTCTTTAGAATTAAAATATGAAGTCTTGTCTATCACATTTTGTTGATTATGTACTTCAGGCATATTTTATATTTATACATTAGTTTCATCTAATTGATAAGAATCTTATTCTAGTTATAAATTCTCCCTACTTTTACTTAGTCGTTATCAGTATGCTACATTGACCCCATAGTTTGAAACTTCCATTAGCTGAGAAGAGTATTCTCGGAACACTTTGATCATTGCGTGCCTGAATTTCCTTAAGCTTTGCCTACATTATGTTCCTATGTTTATGGATTTTCCTCTGCCGACTGACGTTTTTCGTTTTTAGTTTTTACCCTCCATTCGTGCTTCTTTTCTCCTTGTTATTTTTGTGTTTTGGTTTTTTTGTTTGCTAAAAATAAAAACCACGCGGAGGGAGCCAAAGATGGAGAAACAAACCATTTCCGTGCTAATAGTTTCGCTTTTCATTCGTGGAGTGCTTCTATTTCTGCAGCCGCTTCCATTACCGAGTTGTCTGTGCTGATTTGGGCCATTGTATTGTCTCACTTTTGGGTTCGAATTCGACTGGCTGGGATGCACCAGTAACATAAAAACCGAACTGACATGAAACCGAAATGCTCACTCTGCCGCCTGCAGTTTGTCATCTTAATGAAAGCATGAAAATGCTAATTTCCCGGTTTATTACAACCGAACGTCATTATCGCTTCGCTGGCGTTGCTTTCAGCAATTTTAATAAACAAATGCCAAGTGCTGGGTTGAGCTAAGCACGCCTTCTTTCAGTTTGTATGCGTGATTATGGAACTAATGACTAGCTTATAGATAGAAGAAATAAGCTGCGGAGAATGATGAGAGGTCCAATAGAAGTGATATTCCTCTATGTTCCCATCATCATCATCTCGTAATTATTACCATCTCCGCAGCTTCCTCGATAGATGGCATTTAATTATTGTGGCCCCTAAATGGATCTGGGAACGGTCAGCAAAAAAAAAAACCCTGAAGTACTGCAAGTGCTAGAGCAATTTCATCATCTACTCTTTTAGCTCTGTTTATATGATGTCATGGGTTCAACCATTATTTATGCATTTTTGTTTTCCTCTTTTGCGATAACACATTTTGACTTCGATAAGCAGCAAAATTGTACACTCAAAAATGTTTTCCCTCGCGAAAGAAGTAATCAAGCTGTTCGAAATAAAAGAAACGAGTTTCAGTCAATCTAAGAGCTGATTCATCTGCTCTGCGGTGACTAAACCATTGCTCGGTATTCCCTGTACATTCCCAACATCCATTTTCAAATTTCTCGTCATAAATGGCCGCAGGTTGTTAAACTCATTAGCACCCAAAAAATAATAGAAGGGAGGAATAAATCAACCGCAAAGAGAAAACAAGTTATAAGCTAGAAAAAGTACTAGACTAGAAAATACTGTAAGTATGTAAATTATATAGAAAAACCGGAGATAGGAATTAAAACGTACATTTATTTATTTAATACTTTTGCACGTAAGCATTTTCATAGTTTAATTAAACTTTTTGCTTGATCGCTTTTTTAAAATGCATTTTTTTGTATATAACTCCAGGGTATTTGCATGTGCAGCCCAAATGCGAACCGAAATCGCAGCTAGTTTGATGGGGCATCAAGCTATTTCTACCGCTGCGTGTAGGCGGTTCCTCTGGCGGCCCGTAGTTGGTCGGAAAGCGCTTAATTATGTAGGCCCCCTACTTCGCATTCCGCTCTAAACCAACTAAAAACGGACCAAAAAACCAACAGCACGCCCCGGCCTAATGAGCAAACGGAAATTGAAACTTTTTGGCGCTGTTTAAATAAACATTTAAACAAAAAGTGACATAATTTGGCCAAATGAAAAGCGAGAAAAAAGCTGAAGCGAAAAAGCAAAGCGTTACATTGCAGGTGCGAAGGCAAACGCAGCTGAAACAAAAGCCAAAGGAAAAGAAAATGAAAAAGAAAACAAAACAATAAAGGAAAAGTTATGAAAATTGTCGACACAGATGCGTGACTAAAATAGTTATGACATAATAAACACATCCACTAAAAGCAAGGAAATGAAAAGATAACTAACGCGTATTTTATAACAATAAATTAAAAACTACATGAAAGTTTGCCCCACTTTAACGTTGGTGAAGAAATCATAACAAAGAACCCTAATATAAATTCAATTTATGATGGAGGCAAAGTGGCTCCAAGTAAATTGGAAAAGGGAAAAACTGGCACAGCAATTATCTGACAAGCCATTATCAATCGACTGCCTTGCGATCGTCAGTCTATTGACCCATATAAATGCTCAGTTCTGTTGGGTTCGGTTCCAACCCAAATCCCCACTTCAGAGTACGTTTGAAGAACTCCCATTTGCTCAACTAATCGTAGATCAATCATTAGAGCGGCAAAAACCTTTCGATACCCTTACTTAGCGGACTTACAAATAATCGATAGTCCCGATAAGGTAATCCAATAAATGGTGGAAATGGAGGAGATAATAAAACTAAAGTGCTCACCTATGAGGTTTGCTATAAAGGGTTTACATTACTTAATTCTTTTGCGATAACAAAAAGAGTTAAAAATCATTCTTATTCAACATATTTATATATAGTTATATTGTTTTTAAGAACACTTTACTAGGTTTTCTTATTATTCGGTATGCATATAAATATATACCACTTCCCCTGTAATTTACACAAAGCTATCCATCACCTTTAATTACCAATCTCTTATGAACTCCTGACATGTCCCAGAGTATTTCCAAATCGGTGCTCCAAAAATAGTACATTTTCTTTAAGTTCTTCGTTCCGAATGCTTTTTCATTTCAAATGCAGTGCCTCCCCAATTCTCAGGTCGTTTTCTTTGTTGTCTGCATGTGTGTGGCGGGGTTTATTTTCGGTCTTTATCGGTCTCGTTGTTCCTGTTCTGCTGCTGAACAACAGTCCAAGCGGCCATGCATCCATCCATCGGATCGAATCGAAACGAATCGAGACTATTCCATTCCGTTTGGATCGGATCCCCTCAAAAAGAATGACTCTATTTTTGGCAGCACTCTAAGATTTATGATCGGACGTCTGCCAACGCGACTCTGACAGCCGATTTAGCTCGCTTTTGGCCCGGCTCAGTCGGCCATGTTTACACACTTTAATTGCCGGCCAGCGGAGAGGAACAAACCAACAACAACAACAACAGAGCGGCGAACACGACAGGAAATACTCGGTCGGTTTCAAATTGGCTATTTCTTTCTGGGCTTTCTGGTGCTCCAACCGAACGCGTCCGAAGCCCCGAGCGATGGCTCTGTGGCCATAATCAAGGCAATTTAATAATATGTTACGCTGCACACAATTTCACCTGCAAGCGCAACAACCAGTCGGTCCAAAAATCACAAAAAAAAAAAAAAAAAAAAAAAAAATGGGGAGTTTACCCAGCGATCTTCTTCTTTTTCTGGCAGCCGCGAAAATTGCAATTTGATTTGAAAATTATGCGTTGTGCGTACCGAAAACTAGCAGCTGAGCGAACTCAAAGCCAAAGGCTGCGATCAATAAAATTTTGGCTCTGTCGTACGTGACACTCCAATCTAAGTGCTGCTGATCCAGACTTTGACAAGCTCAAAGAGAATCTGTTTTTGCGCATTAGAAAATGAAGTCTTTCAGTCAGCAACCAGAATCGCAAAATGAAATAAAACTAATAATAATGAAAAAAGGAAAAATAAAAAAAAGCGCTGAAACGTCATGGCAACGGAAAAAAGCAGCTGCACAAAGGGCAACACTTGGCTGCTCGCTCGCTTCACGTTGCTGTTGCCGTTGCCGTTGCTCTTGGGTAGCAATTTTGCACGTAATTCGTCACGTAGCGAGATGTTGTTGTTGTTGTTGTTATTATTATTATTGTTGTTGTTGTTGTTGTTGATTATGCATTGAAAATGTTCCAGCCAGCAACAATCTGCATGGCCGAAACACAGGCAGACCCAGGCAACCCAGTGGAGCATGGGCGAGGTGGAGGAGGAGGGCAGGAGGAGCCAAAGGAAAATAAGGTGGTACACCTGGGGAAAATAATCAGTGGGGGAAGCCAAAAGTGTTCCCTTAGAATTGGTTATACATAGTATTTAAAAAAAAGGAACGTAAAGACCATGATTGATACCATCCAAAATTTAAATAAACAAAGTCTTTTGAAAAGAATCGAATTCTTAAATGTAAAAGAAATTATTTAATTAATGGTTATTTCCTTTAATTTTTCAAAGAAAAAAATAAAAAGCCAGGAGTACGTTATAGTTGCTTTGAAATGAGAAATAATGCTCGTTTTGTAGGTTGGTTAGTTATCTGATCTGCTTTCCCTTAAAGTATTTTAAAATTTTTTTTAAGTTGGGGTACTTTTCTTTATGTGCACTAGAAAGAGAGCGGAGAGATGGCAGCTGCTTGTTGATTGCCGGCCGCAGGCGAAACTATGAAAATGCAGCCACAACAACAACAGCAACAATGAACCAACATTCACCAATTAATGCCAAATTGAAATGAAGCCATAAAATGGCCAAGGCTTTTGGCCCGGGCACGCCCACAGGCCAGGCTTACGCCCCCCGATCCCCACCGACGGTTCAACGACATTTGCCAGGGTTCGATTGACATTTACCCGAAATCGATATGCGACAAAAGGGCCGACAAAGCAATTTCATATCCAAAATTCGAAACCAAATCGAGGCGGTCAAAATGAATTATGTCAATCAACTCCGTTCAACTTGAAGCTCCAAAGCAGAGCAGAGCAGAGTCAGATGTCAAAGGTCACAGACCAAAAAGCAAACACACACACACAAACACCAACACACCGGGCAGAAAACGTGCAGTTTTGGGTCAGACACGGCATGACCTCCAATCTCCGATTCCCCAGAAAGGTTGGCAAAAAAAAAAAAAAAAAAAAAACTGAAAGAGAAGCTAGTGTGTGCGTGGATATTGATTGGTAGATTGCTGGCTAATACCTATGGTTACCATTGTAACTTCCGTTGCCTCCCCGGATTAAACAAACCAATCAAGGGCCATCGATTCGCCGGGAAGAGCATCATTACGCTGATTGACGCTATCGATTCACTATTCACTTGGAGTTGGAGGTTGGTTGCTTACACAAATTAACCGTCAAGTTGCCTGAATCATTTTTAATGCGTTCCTATTCAAATTATGGCTGTCGCTCGCATTTCCCGCTACTACTATGCTATGCAAATAATTAATTGGAAATCGTTGCCATGCAACTCTTGTCCGCTAAAGGTACAATTTTCTTCCAAATCCACAAAAGGTGAATTTGCCATCGGAAGTTCGCAACCCACAAAACAGTCATTCCTTCGGTGTACAAAAGTATATGTTTATTTTAATATCAAGTGCTGCGAACCCGGTTCCCTTCACCCTTTTCCCTTCCCCTTCCCGGAAAAAAAAGAAAAGAACCCTTGGCCCCTCGAAAAGACCCTCCAGCTGGCTGTTTTGTAACAAGCGCTGGCAAAACAGTTGTTGCCAGGCCAACTGTGCCGATTATGTCACCGAGCTGTATGGGTTAAGGAACAGGCCCCCAAACCGACTGTGTTCCATTCCTGCACTGTTTGCACAGGCCCTCCCACAAGAGCCCATCCTCCTCCCCACTCCTCCTCCTCTTTCCCATAAACCACCCACTTTGCCACATCTTGCATCCCGCGTTTATCATCATTACGTGTTCTGTGGCATTTGTCGTCTGGTTTGCCGCCTCTCAGACGCTCAGCTTTCGACCGGGCTCTCAGTTGCGGCTCGTAAGCTGGCTTATTTCTGTTACCACGTCGAGAGATCTCGAGCACGGCAACGCAACTATGCAAATTAACTGTCGAAATAACTGATCTAGATTGGTATTATTTTGACATCTTAAACCTGCCAAGCTTCGATTTAACATGGGACTTAAAAGTGTGTTTAAGTAACCCAAAATATTTCCTTTAAGTTATAAAATAAGGTACATTTTCATAATATTCGAGGTATTATATAATATTATGAAAATGTACCTGAATTGCATATTGACATTAACTATGAAATGTTTATTAGATTAGTGTGTTTCCTAAAAGCCCTATTGTGTCAATGTATATCTATATATATAAAAGCAAGTTGTGTTAGTTCCACCACTTATAACTTAAGAACGGCTGAACAGATTTGGCTGAAAATTGGTAGGAAGGTAGCTTAGAGCCCGGAATAGGAGTTAGGGTACTTTTTATTCCGTTCGACATACCAAAAATCGCATATAAACTGAGTTATTACCTCATCAAACTGACAAGCACACACTACCATAGCATTTTAACTCAATTTTTTTAAAGTGAGTAGAAATTATTTGTGATTTTGGTGAATTGAAGTGAAGTGAAGTTTTTCGTGCTTTTTGTGAATTGAAGTGAAGGGAAGTTTAATTAATAATGCCGCGACCAAGACGATCGAATCTTTCCCGACAAAGCCGTAATGCAAGAAGACTACGAAATACTGCAAATGGAAGGTCTGAAGAAGAACAAAACATTGAACGTGAACAGAACCGCGTTAGAATAGGTCGACTTCGTGCTTCTCAATCAGCAGAGCAAAGAGAGGCAATCCGTAATACGGCTCGGTTGACAATGCAGAATCGTCGAGCTTACAACAGAGGTCAAGAAATAGATCATTTGCGACGCAGAAGAAATTTATCAAGTGCTGATTTGAATCGAGCAGCGTTTCAATACGATTGCATCACTGATTACAGCTTGCATCCTAGCGTTTGCATTGGGCAAATGGACGTTGTTTGCGAGTATTGCGGTGCACTGAAGTTTTCCGGAGAAACGCCTGGATTATGCTGCTTTAATGGTAAAGTTAAATTGCCATTGTTGACTCCGCCACCTGAGCCATTGTATTCGTTGCTTTGTGGTGAAACACAAGAATCACGCCACTTTCTTGCAAATACCCGAAAATACAATGGTTGTTTCCAAATGACGTCATTTGGGGCAGATATTATCGAAGAACGAGGATTTAATCCGACATTTAAGGTTTTTTTTTTGTTTGTATTACATAGAATATAGTTAAAGAATAACTTACTTTATCTTAGATACAAGGGCAGATTCACCATCGAATTGGATCATTACTACCTTTCGAAGATACACAAAAAAATTTTTACAAATATATTTCATGGGCAACATGGAAGAACAACTTGATCGACGTCTAGCGATCAATGAAGGGATGAAGCGAGCAATTCTTCAAGACATGCAGTGTCTGCTTCATGAACATCATGCGATGGTCAGGTTGTTTAAGAGTGCTTTAGAGCGCATGCCAAATTATGACTATAAAGTTGTCATAAAAGCAGATAAACGACCATCTGGAACACACGAAAGGACATTTAATGCTCCAACAATAGACGAAGTCGCCATCCTGATTGTTGGTGAACAATTTGGAAACCGCGATATTGTGCTTAAACGTCGCGATACTGGGCAACTGCAACAAATATCTGAAACTCATCGATCATATGACGCGTTGCAATACCCGCTAATGTTTTGGCAAGGAGAAGATGGATATTATCTATATATATAAAAGCAAGTTGTGTTAGTTACACCACTTATAACTTAAGAACGGCTGAACAGATTTGGCTGAAAATTGGTAGGAAGGTAGCTTAGAGCCCGGAATAGGACTTAGGGTACTTTTTATTCCGTTCGACATACCAAAAACGGCATATAAACTGAGTTATTACCTCATCACACTGACAAGCACACACTACCATAGCATTTTAACTCAATTTTTTTGAAGTGAATTGAAGTTATTTGTGATTTTGGTGAATTGAAGTGAAGTGAAGTTTTTCGTGGTTTTAGTGAATTGAAGTTTAATTAATAATGCCGCAACCAAGACGATCGAATCTTTCCCGACAAAGCCGTAATTCAAGAAGACTACAAAATACTGTAAATGAAAGGACTGAAGGGGAACAAAACATTGCACGTGAACAGCGCCGCGTTTGTATGGGTCGACTTCGTGCTTCTCAATAAGAAGAACAAAGTGAGACAACCCGTAACACGGCTCGGTTGACAATGCAGGATCGTCGAGCTTACAACAGAGGTCAAAAAATAGATAATTTGCGACGCAAAAGATATTTATCAATTGCTGATTTGAATCGAGCAGTGAGTGTTTTAATACGATTGCATCACTGATTACAGCTTACATCCCAGCGTTTGCATTGGGCAAATGGACGTTGTTTGCAAGTATTGCGGTGCGTTGAAGTTTTACGGAGAAACGCCTGGATTATGCTGCTTTAATGGTAAAGTGAAATTGCCATTGTTGACTCCGCCACCTGAGCCATTGTATTCACTGCTTTGTGGTGAAACACAAGAATCACGCCACTCTTCTGCAAATACTCGAAAATACAATGGTTGTTTCCAAATGACGTTATTTGGGGCAGATTTTATCGAAGAACGAGGTTTAATCCGACATTTAAGGTTTTTTTTTTTTGGTATTACATAGAAATTTAGTTAAAGAATAACTTACTTTATCTTAAATGCAAGGGCAGATTCACCATCGAATTGGATCATTACTACCTTTCGAAGATACACAAAAAAATTTTTTACAAATATATTTCATGGGCAACATGGAAGAACAATTTGATCGACGTCTAGCGATCAATGAAAAGATGAAGCGAGCAATTCTTCAAGACTTGCAGTGTCTGCTTCATGAACATCATGCGATGGTCAGGTTGTTTAAGAGTGCTTTAGAGCGCATGCCAAATGATGACTATAAAGTTGTCATAAAAGCAGATAAACGACCATCTGGAACACATGAAAGGACAGTTAATGCTCCAACAATAGACGAAGTCGCCATCCTGATTGTGAACAATTTGGAAACCGAGATATTATGCTCAAACGTCGCGATACTGGGCAGAAATCACGACATTGAGATGAATGAGGTACATAATCGGGTTCTACTCTTGATCGAAGATACATATGTGTTACCTCATGTGCGGTAATTTATTAATCAGGTTAAAATGCCAGCGCCAAATCGTGAAATGAATGAGGCATTTAATCGAGAATTAGAACGGGAACGTGAATATGATCACCAGGAATTAAATTTATTAGTTCAACAGAAGAAAGTTTATGATATTTTAATGAAGGCAATCGATAAAGAAAATGGTGGTTTATATTTCCTAGATGCCCCTGGTGGAACTGGCAAGACATTCCTCATGTCATTAGCTTTAGCAACTGTTCGGGCGAGATCCAACATAGCTGTTGCAGTTGCTTCTTCGGGAATAGCAGCCATATTGTTAGAAGGATGCCAAACGGCTCATTCAGCATTAAAATTACCGTTAAATCTTTAAATTATTGAAGAACCAACGTGTAATATTGCAAAACACTCAGCAATGGCCAAAGTTTTAATGGTATCGAAATAAAATTTTTCCTTTTCATATATAAAACAAAAAAAAAAATTTTTTTATCTTTTAAACACCAAACGAAATTTTACATAAAACTATCGCCGTCTGGTGGTGGAACGGAGTTCGCCGGGTTTACTAGTTTATTATATAGATAAGAGAAACCATTTTATCCTTTTTTTTAAATTGAATCCATTACAAGATTAACTGGGCTTAAAAAATCTACCTAAAAGGAACAGAGCAAAAGCGACAAGTGAAAAATGGCTTTTCGAGCTGTCGGAACCGTTAATCGCAGAATGCTGGGGTTAATGCCAAAAAAGCTGAGGGCTTTTCCCATTTTGACATCTCTCCAGATCCCAAGCCAAATGCAAATGTCAGAGGGCAACTCGCTAAGCGACAGACCAGAAATTTAATTGTTGAGAAACGTTCGTTGGCCGCCCTTTTCTCAAAAAGGGGCCGACCACGACCCCATTTTCAAAGGGGATGCCCTTGTTTGGCATACGTACGAGTATATGTACCATATTACTTACTTTGTGTAAGGTTGCCGCTGTTGTTATTTCAATTTTGCTAATGCTACAAACGCTGCTCGGTTCCGTTCTAGTTTCAAAGTTTCCAAGGGGATGGCCAAAGGCCCCCAAAGCCGACGTCCACCGCCCCCACAAAACTCCGACTGAATTTACGAAATGCCAAGAATTTGTCGATTCGATTACGTTGAGTGAGTGCCCAAAGGTTATCCATCAGAGTGTGTATTACAGGAGGGGGAGAAAACCCCATTAGTCAAATTTAGTATTGTGCACTTTCAATTTTAGTTTCCCGACCCCTTTTCTTTTGGCACCAGCAATTCGGAACGGATATTGGCGCAAAACTTTTATAGCTGCAAGTCGTGCTCGCTGGCACATGTAAATATATACACATATATATATTTATATTTGTAAGCGCTATGCACACACCCCGATAAGTTTTCAGACGCAAAGTTATAAAATTTGGTGGGGTTTCTATTCCGTTTCCGTTGCTGCACAAACACGTAGGATCTTATCGACGGAAGTGGGATGTTATAAAGCAAAATACCGCTGCAAGCTCATACGCTTTCGACCTTCGCACATTATGGCCAAGGCTAACCAGTTAACCCAAATAATCTTACATATGGTAATGGTAATTGCCACCTCCATAGCACAGGTAAAATTGTCTTTAAGAAGCTTAAAAGTCTTTTGTTGTTGAGATTTTCAAACAAGATTATAAAAACTGTTGTAAGAAACATTTCGAAAACCGTCAACAACTAAGAATTGAATATAAATGTTTTGAAGAATAACAAACAAGTAATTAAGATTCTAAAAATAAAGCTTTTTATTGTTTTTTTTTTTTTAAGCGCAAAGAACAAAGAAATATGCAATGGCAAATACGCGCATGCTTTATTTATCGTTTGTTTACTTTTTAATAAATTCTAAAAATACTAATGGCCCACGATATCGAAAATAAAACTTGGGAATTATCATAAAACGCGCCTGCGAAACTGTCATAAAGCTGCATCCAGTTATCGCCTCCGAATCAAAGTCAATTGGTCATCATTATAAGCACAAATCAATTTAACGCGTTCGGACAAATCGCAGACAACCGCAAAATAAACCGATGCAATGCCAGATATACTCGTACACACATATATAGATAGTATTCCATCTCCCCACTGACATATCTTGATATTTGTTCAATGAATTCTCAAATCGCCAAAGCGTGCAGATAATTTTTATTTAATTGC